GAACTATCGCCCTTCGCTCTGCCACAGGCCTGCGGCAGAGCGAAGGGCGATAGTTCTAGAGCTACCCCGACCCCCGTCCTCGGCTAGAAGTGAACGGATGTCATTCATCTGCGTTGATAATGGGTTGTAGATATTAGTATAATAATTATTATTTGACAGAACCTTCTACTCTAGATGCTCGTTATCCGCTGCGTGGGCACTGGCGTTTGTTAGTTATACTGATTTATGATTGACTATAATGATAATTATCGGTTATATTTTTTATTCGATAAATATAATAAATATAATAAATTTCCATTCGTTTGCCGTTGCTATATATCCACCCCCACCCTAGCTCTAAAACTATCGCCCTTCGCTCTGCCACAGTGCCCCACCCTAGCTCTAGAACTATAGCCCTTCGCTCTGCCACAGGCCTGCGGCAGAGCGAAGGGCGATAGTTCTAGAGCTACCCCGACCCTCGTCTTCGGCTAGAAGTGAACGGATGTCATTCATCTGCGTTGATAATGGGTTGTAGATATTAGTATAATAATTATTATTTGACAGAACCTTCTACTCTAGATGCTCGTTATCCGCTGCGTGGGCACTGGCGTTTGTTAGTTATACTGATTCATGATTGGTTATAACGATAATTATCGGTTATATTTATTATTCGATTTAAATTAATTTCCATTCGTTTGCCGTTGCATCCTATTAAGAGCGTATTAACTATTAAGTATGAGCATCCTATCAAGAGCGTATTAAGTATGAGCATCCTATCAAGAGCTATATAAAGCTAGTGGCGGTTATTTCTTGTAGGTTATAGTTTCTGTTTGGCAGAGCATCATTCCAGCAGCAGTAGTGGTCGGCTAGAAGAGCCGTCGCGGAAGTCTTGGGCGGTGTTTGTGACGTGTCGGGAAACACTGAAAGTGGGCCGCTGCCCATGTTTTCTTAAACAGATGACAGCAAATTAGGTCAAAGTAGGCGGTTACCATGTGATTAAGACAAAGTAAGGCTTAGTGTGAGCATGCCGCCCTCGCGCGCTCTTGGTATCGTATAAATACAGCCGTATGTATGCAACACTATATATATATATATAGACCTATATATATGTATATAGACCTATATATATATATATTACATACACATACATACATAGATGATAGATGCATACCAATACATAGTAACTATACGCATGCCCGACATTCCCCGTTTAACATGTGGCCCGTTAGACTATATTTGCGCTATACATGGTTAATTCATACATGCCTTCATTATGCGTTTATGCGGTCCCTCTATTCCGCTCTTCGTTTCCTCTTCATGCTCCGTTCTTATATACGGTTTATACGTTTCTCCCCGCATTTCTACACAAATGTATACACATATAACTTCTGCTGCGCTAGCTGTCACCGGTTTTTCTCGCTTTCGTGTGATTTATGTTTTTCCGTTTCTACTGTACGATCGCTATAGACCGATATATGTATATATAT